TGGTTAATGAAGACACAGTACATAAAATGTAAACTTTGCTGATTCTCTAATTGGTATAAAAGCCTAGACCCAAGATAAAGGTCTTTATAATGTGGTATAGTTAAACATCAGTAATTGGCACAAATAAAATCTAAGATTTAAGAAGAAGAGGAAATTTCTTTAGCTGTATCTAGTTAAAAATTTTACTAGTTTGTTAGAACTGCACTGTCTAATATGTTGGCCACTAACTACATGTGGCTGCTGAGCATTGGAACATGGCTAGTCCAAAATGAGATACGGTGCACATGTGAAATGCACAGTGGATTTCAAAGACTTAGTACAGATAAAAGAATAAAAAATATCCAATTAATAACATTTTGTTGATTATACATTAAAATTTTAATATTTTGGATACATTGAGTTAAAGTATGTTGTCAAAATTACTTTATTTCTTTTTACTGTTTTTAAATGTGGCTACTGGAAAATTTAAAATTGCATACGTAGTTCACATTTGTAGTTTTATTTAATTGGGCAGCTCTAGAGGTTAATGGGTTGTAACTAATAATAAATGGAGTTCCATCTGTTTATTAATCTATAACCTCAAACCTCACTGCCGTCGAATTGAATCTGACTCATAGCAACCCCTCTTTGCGATTCCAAGGCTGTATATCTATGGAAGTAGATTGTGCAACCTTCCTTCCAAGGAGTGGGTCGTGGGTTTGAACCGCCAGCCTTCTGGTTAACAGTCAAATGCCTTAGGCACTATGCCACCAGAACTCCCTTATTAATCTATACATGTTATATATGTATACCAAACCAAACCAAACTCACTTCCCGTGGAGTTGGATCTGACTCATAGTGACCCCTCCTTGGGTTTCTGGGGCTGTATATGTACAGAAGTCGATTGCCCAACCCTCCTTCCAAGGAGTGGCTGATGGGTTTGAACCGCCAGCTTTCTGGTTAGCAGTCAAATGCCTTAGACACTATGCTACCAGAGTTCCATATATGTACAGATTAACATAATTAATGTAATATATATTTTGTGTCTATCTAGCTATAGAATATCTCCTCCAAAGATGTCATCCTATAGTGTGTCATATAGGTTCCATAATTCTCAAAGTATATTTTTGTTTTCTTCATACTTCTCTACTGTTAAACCGCCTGTATCTTCTCCTGAGTACCCCTTTCCAACTCTGTCTACCTGGAAAATTCTTCTTATCATTTAATAGGCAATTGAAACATGACTTTCTCTGTGAAATTTTCTGTGATCTCCCTCACCCCAGACCCAAGTAGAAATTAATATTCTGTTCTCCAGGCTATGACAGTATCTGCCCCAATCTACTGAATGCCTTCTGTTTACAGAGCATAGGATTAGGTGGTGGACATACGCAGATATAAGTGACAGGGATATGGACTTTGCCTTTAGTGCCTGCATTCTAGAGTTCAATACAGACAAGCAAACCTGCAGCTATAAAATGGTGTGAAAAGTGCTCTAATAGGAGAAATTCAGATAGCACATCTGAGGCATACTTCACCTAGATTATTTCTTTATGGTAGTTAGGCATATTAAGCCTAAACTACAAGTATCTGATCACACAGCAATCCTGGGATTTAAAAAACAAACAACAAAAAACAAAAAACCCTCAAGTGTTTAAACAGCATGAAAGGCTATTTATTTATTTCACATCACAATTTGTTACAATGAGAGTTGGCTTCAAAATACAAACAATTGAAAAGGCATTCTTATACTACATATGCCCAATGTCCCTGCAATGACTCTCTTAGCCAGGAAATTTAAGTATTGATTTTCAAAACAAAACACAAAATACAACAAAATCACCCCAACACAATGAGTATGATTAAGTAAAAGTGAACTTCACAAAAGGTGTGCAATTTACTAAACACTGATGAACTATCAAATAGAGTTCAGTATTTCAATGATTGGGTTTCTGTTGGGGTTAAGAAGTTAGATTCATAACAAGAAGTGAGCAGCCACTGCTCCCCATTTGTTAAGTCATCTAACATACATGGCGATGGACTTTTTAACAGTAGTGTTGGACAGCAGGATCTATACTTGGCTTTTTGGGTTAATTACATAACTTCACATATCAAGAGGTTGTTTACCTAACTACCTCAATTAGAAGCAAAAGGATTATTTTTGAAAGCAACATTTGAGCTGTCCAAACATCCTAAATACCCTAAACTCTATGCACTGAGGTGAATGTGCCTTGCTCATCCCCTTAACTGGAACATATTTAGTTGTACTTTGAACAGTACTGTGACAAGTGAGCCTGTCTGAATTCCCAGTCTGCACTGGACTAGAAGTTGCCAATCAGAAGAAGGGAATGTTAGAGCCAGGAATGCTGTCAACAGAGAGAAAAAACAACAGATTGTCAGTTAGTAAAGGATGGGGAGAGAAACTACAAAAGATGGAGAAAGTAACTAAATCATAGCATTCTGGAGTGGTTTAGTGAAACAATTGATGTCTTGTTGTTGTTAAGAACACCCCTGGCAACTAGGAAGAAACACAATATAGAATAGGAATTAGATGTGTTTGTGGAATCCACCAGAACCTACTACAAGAATTCATTTCAATTGACCCTAGATTTTCAAGAAAATGTCAAATGAAGTCCAATAAACTACTTAGTAAAACAGAAACATTTGTAATCCATTTTTAAAAATCTTTGTGTAACACGTAAATACATTTGTTAAAAGAAGTTTTGATCCCTTAACAGGACAAACTTCAATTATGCTGATCATCACTGACTGGAACAGTTCGCTTTGTATCAATCCTGGGTAAATGATGATAAAACAGCCTGCTTTACTAAGGAAATTGCCTTGAGCAGATTTCGAACTGTGGTATATGCAAATAAACTATTACATGAAGTTTAAACTGTATGAAATGGCAACAGATTGCATAGAATCATCAGGGCAATATAAAAGTTGTTTTAAAATGGACCAACACTATTAAGCAAAATATTCCTACCACGTACCAGGCACTGTCATAGGTGCTAGATTATTAAGAATTTCAAAAATTGCCTTTGCTTTCAAGATTGTGAAGGTATTCCAAAACTCTCATTCATAGTTTTTAAGGTTAAATGAAATCTCAAATGCACAACACTACCATTACATAACAGACATAGAATACAGTTTTCTAATTTGGATAGCTTTATTATTATTATTATTATTAAGCGCACTAGCAACTCTATTTTCAAATGCTATCAAATTCTTAAGGACACGAAAAGCTACATATGAGTGGAGTGCCTCACCCACTCGTTTTGCTTAAGAAGTGTTTAACACAGCCGTGCCATTTCAGAGTTTAGGATGAGGTTAAACTGTACTTCAGCGTTTTTGTGCCAAACAAAGACAATTTCAGCAACGGCATTAATTTCTCTTGATAATGTTTTCTTGGTGAGTTACAAAATGTAGACCTGACATCAAAGAGAGACCTGACTCAGGGGTTGTACTGAGGGGATGTTAATAGATATTTCGGGAGTTTTGAGGATAAGATGTGAAAACAGCAAATTTAGAAGGGTAAATTATGGTTTCGTATGTCTATCTCCTCCCTCCACCTCCCCGCTCCATCAATCTATTATCCACACCCTCCCTCTTCCCCTTTAGGGGTGTGTTAGGCTGCAGGAAACCGACAGAGGTACACAGCGCTGCCTCTGTGTCCTCGTGATGTAATTGTTATTTCTTATTTGGAGACAGAACCGAGGAAGGCTGCTGAAGAAGAGGCAGCCCTGTTGGTGTTCCCTTGTCTGTTGTTGTTGTTGTTGTTATGTGCCATCGAGTCGGCCCCGACTCATAGCGACCCCTCCTTGGGTTTCCGAGGCAGTATCACTACGGAAGTAGGAATGCCCAACCTTCCTTCCGAGGAGTGGCTGGTGGGTTTGAACCGCCAGCCTTCTGGTTAGCAGTCAAGTGCTTTAGCCACTATGCTACCAGAGCTCCTGTTCCCTTGTCTAGTTGGGTCAAATCCTTTCCGAGGATGTTGTCGATTCGTTGACAGACTCCGTTGAAGACTTCGCAGTGACAAAGCAGCTCAAGATAAAACCTGCCCCTGGGTCCTACATTCGTCCAGGGAGCTAGTCCTAGTTTTCCTCTCAGAGGCACATTTATTGTTGGGTGCTTACTACAAGCTGGCCGAGGGGTCAAAGTAAGAGAGTTGGTGTTCTTGCCCCGCAAAGATTAAAGCAGGACTCAGGTTACAAGGATGTAGAAGTTGGAAGGTGGATGAAAGGGACCCAGGAAATGCGTGTTGTGGGGTGAAACGGGAAGAAGGATATGCATAAGGCGCCAGCAGCCAGGTGGGGACCCTGGACGCATGTAGGGTGCTCCGTCCCCCAGGCTGTGCCCCAAACAGGAGTCCTTTGTCCACTGTAACAAGAAATATCCCCTCAGGTTCCGGGGAGGAGCTGTCCAGGCGCCAGCGGCGGTCTGGGGGCGGCTGGACAGAGCACGGAGCCTAGGGGGACTGCTCGAGCGCGCCGAGCACCCACTTCTGGGCTACGCTATCCTCCCGCACCCTCCCTGCCCTGCAGCCCGGGCCCGGCCTTCCGGGTGGCGGGCTAGGAAAAAAACAACAAAATAGAGGGGGCTCCTCAGCTCCTGCAGCTGCCTACACTTCAGAGGCTTCCTCCCGTCCGGATGACAATGGGAGGGAGGGGAAAAAAAGGGTTAAGAAACTTGGCTGAAGAGCTGAATGGCGTGGAGCTGCGAGGGGAGGGACTGGGCCGCGGCGGACTCGGCGACGGAGGGAGGAGCGCGGCTGCGGGCGGGCGGCGAGCGAGGCGCTCAAAGTCAGGCTCGCAGACATTGCAGCAGAGCCCCGAACTTCGGAGGCGGCGAGGCGGCGGCAGAGGAGGCGGCGGCGACGGCCGAGGCAAAGAGACGACCCGGCCCCGCGCCCTCACGCCCGCGCGCGCCTGCCAGTAGCCTCGCGTCCGCCGCTGTACTCGGTAGGGCTGCTGGTCGGAGAGAAGAGCTCGCCCGGGTGCGGAGGGAGGACGAGGCGGCGGGGCGTCTTCGTAGAGTGAACCTGACGGAGCCAGAGGCTCAGAGCCGCGGCGGCTTCGGGTGAGTGGCGGCCGCGGCCGAGGGGCCGCGAGGAGCGGCTATTCGCGTCGCCGGAAACGGCCCCGGAGCGCGGCCCGGGGTGGCGGCTTTGGCTGGCAGGGCCGCGGGGGCGTCGGGGGCAGTGCGGTCGGTGGCGGAGCGAATGCAGGCAGCGGCGTGGGCTCTGCTGCCGGGAGGAACCGTTTCCGGGGAAATCCCGCCTTTCCCCCCTCCTCCGCTTCTGGGTCCGAATCGCCTCTGGAACTCGGGGGGCCAGGGTAGCGGGGCTGGCAAGTTGTGGAGTTAGACCCAGGCTGGCGGTGTGGTCCGTACCTGTTCTGGGCTGGGGCCAGGTGGTACTGAGTGTCTCCGGCTGCGGGACGGGCCCGGATGGCTGTTGGCCGGACTGGGGTCGCGATCCAGTCGGCCGCACCCCTCAGCCCGGAGTCCCGGGCGCTTTTCGCCGCGCTCGGTTCTGCTGTCTGGCGGCTTTCTGGGCGGCGTGGGCGCAGCTCCCCGGTGCCTCTCTGAGCTGTGCTCGTCCGATTCCGAACCAGGAAAAGTGTATAGGAAAAAGGAACGGCTTTGCTGGCCCGAGAGCGAGGCCCCTTGGACCCGAGGCCTCAGCCATCATTTCACCACTAAGCCAGGAATGGGCATTCATTTAGGGTGAGCTTGGGGAAGGTTCTCCGAGGCTGCTTTTCTCGCCTGCCTCTGCCCTCTTATTACTATTATTGAATGTTTCTGATTTATGAAGGAATTCCATGGAAATTGTCCACATACCCGCCTATCCTTTGCAAAGTAGTTTTAAAAATTTTAATGAGTTCGTCAGAAGGAACAAAGAAATCAACTGTCTTGGACAACAAGCTGGAAGTTTGTGACACATGTTGATCTCTGAAGCTTTACAGGAGTTTCTACCTTTTACCACGTTAGTATTTAATTGGTTTTTGAAGCTAGGGAAAGAACAGGATGATAAGCACTTTTGGTTTAAAATATTTTTTAATAAGACTTTTTATTTTTGGGGAAAAATTGTTAAGACGTTCCTAGTTGGAAGGACTTTTAATTCAGTTGGTAGAATTGTGTTGGAGTGTGTCTCCTGTGATATTAAGTGACTAAACGTGAAGCTGTGGGGGAAATTTTTCTTTATGAGAAGAATGACGGTGGATAGGTGTCCAAAGTAAAATGGTTGTCGGTTATGTATGATGAATACTCTTCATATTTCTTAGGGAATTTGTGAAGCAAAGGGCTCTAGCAATTCATTCTTTAAAGTTATGCGTTTCAGTGAACCTGCTTATTAGTGAATCATAGGTTTATCGAGTGGGAGGCATCTTCCTGATGAGATTATTCAATGTTTAATCATCAGTTAGCCACTCTTGTTGAAGAGACAGTGAAGTAAGTGGACTTTTAAAGAAACGGTGCTTCATCTGTCAGGTACCTAAGTGTTGGTTGCTGCCTGAATGTGTTGACATGTTTTTCAACTTCCAAGTTAAGTTTCTTTGCTATTTGTCTGGTGATTTGGTAAGGTCAATTTGGTGATAGAGTCAGGGTTTAACGGATTCACCGAGCAGTGGCTTCATCCCTAACAGTAACTTTTCTCTGCCTCTTAGATCCTACAGACAAAAGGAGGAGGGTCATTGAGGCTGCAGGGTTACTCTGGTCTGTGCCAAAACTCTCTACTAGGGAAAGACCTCTTTCCAAACTTACTCCACAAAAGTGCCCCAGGAATGTGGGTAAAATATATTTAAAGAAAAAATGAAAAGGACTGCTCATTGTTGATTTTACTAAAATAAGTTCCCTGTAGTGTCTTGAAGATAGTAGGAAATCAAGTTTAATGCTTATGGGTTGACTTTGAAACACTTCTTGCGTGCTTTTCCACACTCTGCAGAACTTGGATTTACTAATTTAAACATCTGAGAATACTGTAAGTTCTCAGTAAGAAGTGTCTGTAGAAGCAGCTAAAAGGCTCTTCTGACTCTTGCAGTTTTAAGAGCAAAATATTGTGATAAAAAATAACCTATACCACCACCTAGAGTCTGTTTGTTAGTTTATTGCCCCTGAAGTTTGCTTAAATTGACATGTGTCTTGTGGTTTCAGATATAGCCAAAAATGCTTAAGAAGTGCTAGCTTTCCAAAGGTCATCCAACAGAATTCAATTATTTATATAACAAATAGCTAGTGCCGATTTAACTTATCTGTGCCACCTTTAGAATTCAAAATTATGTCGTATCAGCTTAAATGAACTATTTTCCAAAAGATTCAAAAGAATTTAAAACAGAATTTTTAGCTGGTGCTCCAAGTTACCTCTGATTGCTTGAAGACTTTCTAGGTTGTTATCAAGGGTTCAGGAAAGCTACATGTTAAATACCATTAGGACTTTTTGAGTCCAGATGAAACAAAAACCATGATGAAATAAAAGGGAGTATTACAACTCCAGAAATTCTGGAAACTCAAAAGGTAAGAGACAATGTAAGCTACAGTAGCGTTGTGGTTTAGAGATGTAAAAAGTTAAATCAAGATAATGTGTCTGTCTGGCTAGTATTATACATGGTAAAGCATTCTGTTAAGTGGTAGACCTTTGGGAGGTGGCTTTGTTGCCATGTGGCTTTTCACATTGTCCATTGAGGAAGTAATGTTCCTTCTTCAGCTTGAGCGAAAGATGGCCTCCAAGATCTTTAATTAAATACCAGTTGAACAGAAAGAACTAGATCACTGTATTAATTCTGTCAAGCATCACTATTTTAGAACATTGAGGACAACTAAAAATGAATTAACTCATCTGAAAGCTGAGTTTTATGGAAGGTGACAAATGAGGCAAAATATGTCAATCTAATGAAACAAACAGGGAGATAAGGAGATCCTCCAACCTTGGCTCCTTAGAAAGATGAGGGAGGAAGGTTATTATTAATTGTACAGACTCCATTGCAAATGAGCACTAGAAGATGATGGCATATAAGTGATTTTAAATCAGAGAGGCTTAGGATATGCAAGAAGTTAAAGGAAATCTTAATTTTAAAACCTTAAGGTTGTAAAAGTTAAAGATTCATATTTTAAGTATTTTAGAATAAGATTTTTTTTGTATCACATTTAAAGATAATACTGTTCAAAATAAGTTCAAAACTTAATTTTTTTAAAAGAAGAAATTGTTCACTTTAAATTGTGTTAAGTTCTGTTGTACTTTTCAAACTTTAGCTTGTCAGATACAGTTTTTAAAGTGTAGGGAATGTAGAATAATTATGGTTTCTCTCTCTTTTTCTTATTTGTATTTTTACTAGCTTCTGCATCTTTGGATGTTTTCTTCCTTGAGAAAAGCCTTTCTCTGTAACTTCCCTTCTTGGCTATGGTAGGGTAAAGTCTCTTTACTCTTGTGCTTTTTCCATATAGGCCCTTTATGTGGCTGATTGACAGTCAGGGATGCTTTTTTATTTGTTTTTATTAGTGATTTGCTTTTACATGGATGAAGACTAGGGAAAAAGTATTCTCTGTTCTAACAAGGCTCAGTGTACTCATGTCTTGCAATTAGAACAATATTTTTATTAAAAGCAACTTTTGAGCACTATTGAAAAATCCAAGAAACATTTTCATCAGAGTAAGGGAAGAGACTTCCAGGATATATGAGTTTGAATTTGTGAATTAAATTTTTCAAAGAGGCATTCTCTTAAGTTGCAGTTCTTGAGGGGTCTGTCTTGGGGGAAAATGAGCAGACTCATTCTGCAGTGTTTAGATACCAGAACAATCAAAGAAATATACCAGGGTGAGCACTAAGACTTGAGAAGATAAAAACCAGGAGTGTCAAATGATGAAGCAGGCCAATGGAATAGAACTGAGGATTATGTCCAGAGGTTGGAATGAACAAAAAGTAAATGGAGGAGAGAGATCATGTTTCGGTATCCTGTTTGCATCTGATGCTGAAGCAGGGACATGAATTGCTGATGGTAATGGATTCCCTTCTATGAGGGCAGCAATATTATATAAATAGTGGTTGTTTGGGAGGGGCAGATGACAAATTCCCCATTTGTGCATGTGCCCATCTAGTGTTTGAAATGTGTCTTAAACACATATACCATGGAAGATCAAAATTGGGTACCAGAGTGGAACCTGGAGTTAGAGTTTGTTTCTAAGAAAATGCATTAGTGTTAGATAGCCTTTTTCTTAATCTGTTATCTAAAGATTTTTAAGGGATTTCTTGAACATGGAATGTTTTGAGTGCTGAGATTTGGATGGTAAACTAGAGAACTCTTTACTAGGAAGTCTGTTAAAGGTAACTATGTAAATAATTACAGCAAAAAAATGCTTTCTTCAAGCACCTTATCTTGAATGAGTAAGGGTAGGAGGGAAATTGGGGCCAAAGTGCTCTCTAAAGTCTCAGCAAGGTTTCTTTGCAAACTAAACTAATGTATATGTGCCTGTCATTTTTTTCTTGAGATTAATATTCAATTTGATGGCTACTGAATATTTAGGGTTTTAAAGATTAGATATAACAGAACTTTCCTTTAGTTTTCCTACAAATATGGAGGGTGGTTTCAATTTTTCATAATAGATGTAGGTAGGGAGATGAATAGGAAGTTATACTGATTTGTTAGTTTTGGCGTATAATCTGTATCATGAACCTTGAAATTCAAATTGATCGCTACACTATCTTGCCAATACTACAAATGAGTTATTACAGAACTTGTGGTATTTTAAGTTTTAAATACACCTAAAATATAATTTTTCTTAGGTTTATAAAAGAGAGAGAACAGGAATGGAGTAAAATAAATGTGATACATTTTACCTCTGTATTAGTATTCTGTTAAGATTAATACCATGAACCATGCTGGGCATTACATTTAGCATACTTTAATAAGAGTAACATACTGAGAAGCAGAGCTGAGGAATTTAGTAGTCTGGCAGGTCAAAAATGGAGAAAAAAGTCACAATGTTGGGGTTGAGAAAAAAGGACCTCCAATATATTTACCTAGTAGTATCAAGATATATATAAATAATACCAGGTTTTAAGATAGATTGATCTTGAAGATAATTGT